TTAACCAATCAGAAGCTTCCAAGGCCATGACATCATCATCTGGGCTTTCACAAACAGTTTGAAGGATCTTAGTGGATGTAAACTTCTGACTTTGAAGAAAGTCATAAAAAAACTCTCTCTCTCATTATTCTGGTGGTTAGTCAATAGAACTAATGTTGGTGATCCTGGCTGAGCTGAAACAGGAAACGTTTAGTCTGGTTTAATGTCAGATGGGTTGATGTCTCTTTATTCAGTGGATGTAAACGTCTGGTTTCAGGTTGGAAACGAAATCACAAAAGTAGTCCATATTAACTACGCTGCTACCTCAGATATTTCACTCGATCTCCATTTTATAAACGTGTCAGAAAGTTAAATTCTTAACTGTGTGATAATTCATGTTCTGAGCACAACGTCCTCTATATCAGACCTAATGTTCACAGTAGTAAGACTGCAGAGAACATGGACCATAGCTGGAGACAGGACTTCAGTGCTGTCTTGGACTGCCTCATAGGGTGGAATGTTTTTATGCCGTGCACACACACTACACGTGCACACTATCTCGGGTACTATATCAATCACACTAACTCTCCAGCTTAGTTTGTTGCACAGTATTTGGTGTGCACATGCTGATCAGTCATTTAAAGTGTGAGTTCAAGTATTAGCTGATATGATATTTAAGCTTTCACAGTCCTACCTGTGTCCTCCACCTTGAGTGCTGCCACCTGCCTTGTCATGTCCTCCACCTTTTCAGTGGGCCGTGGGATGCAGATTGGATTTCTTATGTGCTGTGTTGTTTGTGTTAAAGGGCTCAAACTGCTGTGTCTCACCTGGTGCGATGGTGGGTGGTGGTCCAGAGTCCTGTACAGCAGTCCACTCCACCAGGAAGCCTCGTCCTCCCACCACTGAGTCAGACCGGAACTGCAGGGTGACACTGCTTCCTGCACTTCTCACAGTATGGGGAAGGGTCAAACCACAGAAGGTCCCAATAGGGTAGAAATCAACGGTAGGGCCGTCAAATATCTGAAGAGGAACAAGGATAGACAGCAAAGTGGTCTTCAGCAAATACAGCAGAAACCAGGAGTTTACATCCACCGTATGAAAAGACATCCAACCTTCTGCTTCTCACTGTCTGACATTAAACCAGACTGAACTCTTCCTGTTTCAGCTCAGTCAGGATCACCTACATTTATATTTGCCAAATGCCAGAATAAGGAGAGAGAGGATTTTTTGTTCCTTTCTTCTGAGTCAGAAGTTTCCATCCATCTCCTCAGTATCTGCTAGCGTTGCCTTTAAACTGCATGACTTGGGTCAAACATTCTGGGTTTCCTTTCAGTACTCTGAGTTCTGGCCCATTCCTACAGCCGCCTTTCTCTGTCTGCAGTCACTGTGTGGTCTCAGCAATCCCACCGGCAGCATCTACAAACTGTAATCTGTCTTTTCTATGGTTCTTCTGGAGTGATGTCTTCTTCCTCTCTGAGCAGCCTTCCAGCCCATGTCGGTACAGGACTGGTTCCACTGTGGATAATGACTCTCTGACCAGCTTCAGCAGCATCTTTAGCTCTATCTAGGTCATTAGCTTCTGTTCTTGGGTTGATATGCACATTTCAACCAGAACACAGGGTGCATGGACCCCTCTGCAAACGGCTGCCTGCAGTCCAAATACAAAACCACATGGACTGTTCATAAGAACACCAGCTGCATACGCAACAGGAAAACTAAACGGATGCTTGTTTTCAGGAAAGGCTGTATGAGGAGATGCCCAGTCATTCATACCTTCATACCTTATCAATAAAAATGTTGTGATTGAAGTAACAGGGCTTTGGAAATACTCTAATAGTTGCATGCTTTCCATTAACACTGGATGAACACAGTGCTCCAGAAATCCTGTGCTAAAGCTGACCTCTGTGTTGGGATGGCAGCACAACACACATGGTCAGTAATCACTGACATGCTACTGTCACGGCCGTTGGCGCCGACTAGTGGCGGTACTCCCCCTCCCTCCTTTCCCTTCCTCCTTTTCCTGTAGGTGGGCGTGAGCGGCAGTGCAGGCGGCGCTGATGGGTTACACCTGTGCTTCATCTCCGTGCAATCAAGCTGAAGAGCCACACCTGGGTTTGACTCGCCACTTCACTCTCTCTGCCAGTACTTAAACCAGCTCCAAACCATCAGCAGACGCCGGACCGTGATCAACTGATAGTCAGTGTTTGTTCTAGCTCTCGTTTTGCTCTGTGGCTAACTGTCTCTCCGCTCCCCAGGACTCCACCAGCCAGCGTGTGTGCTCCTCCAACCACCCTCATCTTCTCCCTCCGTTCCCTGCTGGACTCCCTGTTGCCGTCTCCCTGGTTCCCCGTCCTCACCACCGTTCTGCTGCGCCGCCTGCCTTCCCCGCTCCCTCTCCGGTTTCCCTCAGCTAAGTTGTTAGCCGCTAGCTTCGTGTGCTTTAGTGTAGCTTCTAGATTCCTTGTTTGTCACTGAGCCTTATTTGCTTAGTCTCTTTTTGTTCCTCGTTCTAGCTTAGCTTTCGTTTTGTATATCCTTCTATAGTCTTTTGTTTGAGTTAGCTTCTTGCCTGCATTACCACTCGTGTAGTTTTAGTTTCGGGTTCCGAGTGCGTTTTTTGTTATCGTTAGTTTTAGTTTAGCATTCCTACTGTGGTTATACCACCAGCTTGGTGAGTCTTTCCCTTGCCCTGCTGTAAAATAAATTATTTTATTTTTACATCTGTCTCCTGTTGTCTTGTTGCTCTGCACGTGGGTCTGTGAACTGACCGTAACAGCTGCTATACTTAGCAGCTAAATCCTGTGAGGATCTTGTTAATTAAAGTCCCAGCCAGCTTTTCTGAGACAACAGGAGCCCTGTGTGTTTTAGGGTCAGGATGGGGGATGTGAGGGGCAATGCGACGGCGGCGTAGCAGAGCCCTGATGCGTACCGTCCTATGAATGGAACCACATGTACAGCTAACACGGAAACCATGAATGGTACTGTCACACCATGTGAACAGAAACATGGAGATGTCGGGCGAGGTGCTATGAAGCAGTGAAACTTTAAGGTTCCGTCCACTAATGGCTTCAGACTGACGGTTCCTTATTTCAGGTGTGTATCTGATCTACTGGAGAACACCTGATTTCCAAACAATGATTTGTTCGATGTCGATACAAAGTGAAGTGGCCAATGGATCGATATGAGCCGCTGTGACATCACAGTGCAGCTCAGGTCACTGGTTGTGGTTTCACAGTGTGCACAGACTCACTTTGAGCTGGTCATAGTAGCAGTCATACAGGTCCTCGATGTCCATGTCCAAGAAGCGGATCTGGATGTAGCGGTTTCCCTCCACAGTTATGGTCCAGCGGTAGTGGGCGTTATTTGGATAGATCCTAGGATACAGCGGTGACGCTATCTGACCAGACTCCCCCACCACATCAACACCGTACACTGAGGAACAGAGAGGAAGCTCAAGTCAGACTTCCTGTTCACTCTCAGTTGAAACTGTGTTTGATCTCATCTATTTCATTCATGTTTGGTTACTGAACAGATAAGCAGAGGTGCACAGAACACAGCCAGCATGTAATGAGGCATCAGAGACAGATCAGACTGTATGACTCCCACAGAAACTTCCTGTTTCCATCTGGTGCTGAGAAACAACAAACGGACCAGGCAATGACAAGAGCATGGTGTGATGCTGAGTTCCATTTGATTCTTCGTGACAACCAAAACACACATGTGCAGGAGTTTGAGACCCGACGGACCCAGAGCCACGTGTGTGACATCTGTCACAAATGTGCTGGTGAAGGACACCCAGCACCCACCTTTGTTTTTTGTAGGGTACTACCAAAAGGTGTTCTAGGCCTCAGCCAGAAACCAGGGCTGTGACTCCCTATGCACCTGTAGCCCCGACCTGTGTGCCTGCTGACGACCGTCTGGGAGGTGAACGTTCATAGAACTCACCGTTAAAGTTCTGTTAAGGTTTAAACGATCCATAACTAAGGGCACAGCTGCTCTGAACCACAGAACAGTCCATTCACCAGTTGGTGGCCCAGCTCAGCTCCACTCGCGCTTCCCTCTTTGATCCTTCGTGGACTAGCAGGGAACCCTGTCAGACACTTGGTACCGATGCAGCTATCACACTGGGCTTGCTAAAAACCGCTGTTAGGAAACCTGTGACACTATGGAGGTCCCCTTTGTCTTTACCTAAAGTCAGCGGCTGATCCTGTAGCGCAGCATCAGAGGAAGATCTGTCCATCATGTATTACCCATCCCTGATTTCTGTTTGGACTCTGGTCTATTCATGAATATTGTTCAGTTTTCAGTAGGTTTTTAACATCATTAAGAAAATTATTATTGACTTGACATCAAATATGAATCTAACTCTAGAATGTTCAGAAGCACTGTTGACACAGTTCCTGCTAAAGTCAGCAAGTGCCCCAGAAAAACAGGTGGTAGATGACTATGAAGAAGACTGCTGAATGGTGTTCATGCTCAGACACTCACAGTGTGAGAAGGTGGCTCTGAATCCTGCTCCGCTAATTGATGCATCGGAGACAAACTTAACCCACAGGACGTGACCAACCACAGAGGTGTAGTTGGAGGGGAGTGAGTTTTCACAGAAGCGACCAACTAAAGGCCCAGTGGAGCTGCCTTCTCTGATCTCCAGGTAGTCCTTCTGACAGCCAGAGTCTCCTTGAAGGTGAAACACACTGAGCAACACATGAGAAGGTGGTTACTGACATTCAGTGGTAGAAGCTCCTGCAAATAAGAAGTGCAGATTAATACATCTACATCAAATAGTGTAAAACATCAGATTATAAAGTGCTCAAACAGGGAATGTGCACCAGTCACCATGTGGACAGAACAGCCAAAGGTAAAAACCTGTGAGATCCACCATGAGTGTAAATGAGGAAACTCGTTAGCTGCTCCACAATGAGCAGCTTGCTCTCTAGGCTGGAATGAGTAGCTGTACCTGGAGAAGGTCTAACACATCATGCTATAGCATCGTACTGATGCTGTCTGCATAGCATACGATGCTACATCCTGGCCAACGTCGTTTCCAACCCGGTACATCCGGGACAAGCTCATGCTGAGCAGCAGTGCTGGTCTGGCTGTTGCAAACTACGCCATTCTCAGCATTATGCGAGCATTACATATCCATGTTCTGAACGGAAACGTACAGGAACATTCCCAAAATGGCCTTTGAAATGTTATCAGTTGTCCATCTTTTTTTAGCTTGTGAAGGGAATTTTCTTATTGATATTTCACATTTTTAAATCCATGAAATATGTTTTAAATATTTTAAATTTAAGTTCACTGTTTTAAAGAAAACTAACACAAAACAAACTTTGGGCTGTGAAAGCTAATTCCACGGCTGTCTCATATTTCGTATCCAGCCACACATGGGCACACAGTCACTCATCATGATGGCAGTTATATATATATATATACACATGTATATGATATCTGAGCAATTCAATGTGCTGAAGAAGTCTGTGGGACACTGCTGAAAGCCACTGGGTCATTTTATAAAATGCCACCAGTAACCCTTAAGTTTAGAATATTTGTGCTCGTATATGTTGTTCAGTGACTCACATAAATGAGAGCTGGACACGGTTTCCTGGAGAACTGGTGATGGTCCACACACATTCCACATTAGGTGGATAAGGATCTGGATAGTTAGGACTGTTAAATGCCCCGCTCTCCATCACCAGATCGCCTCCACAACCTGAGCAGAACAAGTGAGAACAACGTAGGTTTCTTGGTCGTTCTGTGAGCACTAATGTGTACGTACACAGTGATTTGAATTGTCAGGTATGTGGTGCTAGAGTTGTGCGCTTTATCCAGGACGTCTTACCGGAGATGGAGGCTGAGTAGGTCGCTCTGAATCCTGTTTTGGAGACCGACTCATCGGAGATGAAGTTGACCACCAAAGCGTTGCTGAAGGATGTCACTGGATGAGGTATGTCAGAGCCACAGTAGCGTCCTAAAAGACATGTTTAATCAGCTTTTAATTTGGACAGCACTAAATGCGACCTGTTTAACAAGTTGCTGACTCATTGCAAGACACATAATGCAGTTTAGAGCCAGAAATATTCCATTACATCACACAGTGAGGCTGTACAAGCCCACCACCTCTGTCCTGGGACTGCTCTGATCAGTGAGGAGAGCCAGAGCTGCTTGTTTCCTTGGACTGCAGTCGTGTACGCTGTTCTTCTTGGTTTGGTTACTCTCTACCTCCTCTGTCCCTCTTATTGCCCACTAAGGCCCAAACCCCAAATCATTATTAGTTACTGTTTTCTGGACTCCTTTTCAGTGGCTGCCTCCTGACTTAGCCGCTAGCCACTGCGTAGCTTTAGCCACTGGGAAAGAAGCTCATTTCCTGTATTTTGGCTTTGGATTGTGGTTCTTGTTCAGTTTTTGCCGGTTGTGAACTCTGCTAGAGAGACACGTCTGTCAGTAAGGGCATACGGCTAAAGTTAATTTTACTTTAGAAGCATGTGACAGGTCCTTCAGATAGCGTTAGCCACAGGCCCAACAGTTAGCCTCTCAGCGACAGCCTTAGCCCGGAGTCACTAGCAAGACAAGGCCGAGTTGCACTGACACCAACAACTGAATAATTTGGGTATTTTCAGTGCAGTGGGGAAACTGGCCACACTTGTAGAAGAATTTTGATGTCTTCCAACTTCAGCAACATGTTGCCTCCCCTCCAAACCCAGCTCCGGTCTGTCCCTGTCCGTAGCTTCATCGTTGATGGACGCTACGTGTCCGGTGTGACCGGCAGGTAGGCTGTCGGTGGGACTGCTGGGACCACACAGTGACGGCACACAGAGAAAGGCGGCTGTATCAAAGCCAAAGCAGTGCATTTAAATGATCAATAATTGGTTATTAAAAGGGCTGCAGGTGTCTCGGTGGTTAGCATCATNCAGCTCCCAGTCTGGGTTCTGGAGGCAGACACCCTCTGTGCTTTAAGGTCAGGATGAAAACGTTCCTCTGTGATGAAGCTGATAGTTAGAGCTGCTCAGGATCACCTGAACTGTTCCTCAGTGATGCTGCTGTAGCTTCAGACTGCCGGGGGATTCAGATGATGATGATCCTGGGTGTCCTCACCAGGACGCCAACCGGCGACCTTCTTGCTGTGAGGCGCCGGAGCTAACCACCGAGCCACCTTACAGCCCACTTGTATTCATAGTATACAGATTTTTCCATACATATGTTTACCTCGAGGTAGTCTCCTGTGCTGCATGCAGTTCCAGAGCCTTGAATGTGGAAGGGGCTTTGGAAGGTGACAGAAACCCTAAAGCCGGGTGTCACCATCACATGCCAGCTGCAGTCCAGACCAGGCAGGTAGTTCTGAGGGTAGTTGGGACTAGTCAGCACACCTCTGTCTACATGTAGTAATCCACCACAACCTGGAACGACAGGAGTTTTATGATTATTGTTGTTGTAGGGGAATGGCAGAGTCATGTAATCCCAAGATGGCGCCATACCTGCAGCAGCCACATTAATCTACTGCTCACTGACATGTCTGGAGCTATTCTTTTAGTAGATTAGTGAGATGAACCTTTATAGGATGACTATAAATTTGCTTTGGTGTACAACCTTTGGAGTAGGAGGCGTTAAATCCTTGGCCATTGACGTTGCTGTCTGAGGAGAAATGGATGAGCATGGAGTCTCCTGTGGAGTGGAGAGGACCTGGAGGATCTCTGCCACACACGGTGGCCAGCACCGGGGACTGGCTGCTTCCACCTGGGGACACCCACACAGAGAGAAAGTATAAAACGTCTGCGAGAGGATTCTCATGAGCTATGACTGCTCGGCTCAGGACGGGAAGGCACAGACGTTGAGGAGAAGATGGAACCTCCCATGTCTCCCAGGTCTTACAGCTACACTCTAGTAAGTCCAGTAATGATAAATCATAACGGGCTAGATAATGGGGAATGCCCTCACACAAGCTTTCCTGAAAATTAGCATGTGCAGAGGGGTCTGCATGGCATTTACATCACATGGACCCTTGTGGAGACACAGGAAGCACAAAGTGGCCTCAGCTCATGATCGTTTGTGTCATCTGGTTTAATTGTGTTGTCAGAAAAGACAGAGGCCTCCTGCTGTCTCCTTCTGTAACAAGTGCTACTTTCAAACGTCTCATTTTTTCTACCTAATAAGCAGAGTTTAGAGAGAAAACTGCTAGCAAGCATAAAAATACTTGGTTAAATACTTAGTGAAAATTCTTTAATTATATGTGGAGAATGGAGGAAATCAGGTCTGTGCTCTCTTTTAAGGCACTTCTTAAAACACATTTTTATCGGAGAGCTTTTCCTGATTTTATTGACCCTTTAAGCCCTGAGCTATTTTTCAGGCCTTTGCTCGAAAATTACATACCCATAATAAAAACAGTATATCTCTGCAACCACAAGGTCTATTTGAATAATTCTTGTGTCATAATAAAAGGAACACTTGTAAGATTTGTTCAGATGTGTAAATT